TTTTTTTTTTTTTTTTTCTGGGGCAGCGAGACCATCATGTTCCTCCACCAAATCTTCTACCAGGGCCTGAAGGCCAGGATAGCGAGCTGGCCCACACTGGTGCTGGGTAAGAGAGACGACGACAATGCCCCCAGGCTTGTTGAGATCACCTTAAAAAATAATTCATCACTGTCTGATGAAAATCCTGCATCTCCACTCTTGATTTTTAGTTTTTTATTGTACAGTAGACCCCCGTACTTCAGAGGTTATTGGGGCCGAGCCTCGCCCCAAGTAATTGACGATGTTAATAGTTTAAACTTTACTATAATTATCCCAAAAACTATGATTCAATTTAAAAATTTTTTTTTTAAAGTATCTTAGAATATTATAGCCCACATATTGTTTGATTTGCAAAAGAAAAATGCAGACTTTTCATTAGTTCAGCATATTTCACTGACTCCAATTACTTGTTTCCTACTGGTCATCTCGTGGTATCTTATGACGGTACAGAAAGAGGCAAAAATATGTTGAGGTCCCATAAAAATTGAGTTTTTTGATGAAAAGCTAATGATAGATTGCACATAAAAAAAATATTGAAACTGCGAATTGGCGAGTGTTATCTGTAATTATTTATGTTGCCAAAGAACCAGTGAAACATTACATGCTGAATAGGAACGGGTTTGCCGTCAAACTAAGATTCTGATGTCACTGTAAAATACGTTTTTTTATAGCTACTGAAAATAAGGGAGATGATCTTTGATTGATTTTTTTTTTGGAACGTCACGTAATAAGTTCATACAAGGTAGATGAATCAAAAACGATATGGCAAAAACTGCTGGTAAGGAACGCCATACAAGCAGAGTAAAAGGTGTGCTGTAATTCTCATGTGAATTCAACCTTCCGCTACCTTGTTCCATAAAGGACCACTTGAATAATGCTCAGATAAAACATTTATGATGTGCAAGCCATCTGGCCCACAGTCTTTGTTCTGTAAATCTGTCTCGAGTTGTGCAAGTCCACAAATCGTAAGAAATCGTCACCGCGCCTCTCTCTGTTGCCCGCAGACAGATATCCAATCTGCCTCTCCTGTTCCAGCCAAATTTTTTTGACGGAGAATTTAATCAAGCTCTCAAAACTGGAGATGTGTGCAAAAGTCACACGGGCCTTTGCCAACTTGGAGCTGACAGTGAGACTGGGCATCTTGGAGCTTTGAAAGGGACATTAGCTGGAAGGCTTTTCTGTCGGTGACACTTATAGCTTCCTGTCTAGTCCTTCTTTCCTCTTCTTTTCCTTTCTTGATTGATATCGATATCTTGACTCATTATTTCAACTTCATTTTTTTGGATCCCTGCAAAGCTCTCAGACTATACAGAATTTCTCCGTGGTCCACAGTCTATGCTTCTAAAGCCTGCCACATGCAGAACAATGCTGCTGCTGCTGCTGTCAAACTTAGATCCACCTTCCAGGCCAGTCGCAAAGTATGTTTTCTGTCCTCCTAACAGCCGACCTCTTTGACATTTTGCTGCCCATGTTAAACATCTACCAAGAGTTTGTGCGGAATCATCAGTACAGCCTGCAGATCTTGGCCCACTGCAAACAGAACCGAGACTTTGACAAACTGCTGAAGCAGTACGAGATGAAGCCCGACTGCGAGGAAAGAACGTTGGAGACTTTCCTAACTTACCCCATGTTTCAGGTATGCACAACAGGACCGTCGCCTATAAATGCACTCGAATATGGACTCCCCACAAATAACATTCATAACATCAGTGAGTTTTTAGTACTTTGGTAGTGTAGAGACTTTTTTCTGGCCATAGTTGTTTAAGTGCTCGCATAAATGTGGATATTCCCTCTTTGGGTTTAGTTTGAACTGAAAAATGGAGTTCAAGTATAGAAATTTCAATTGTTAATTACAGCATTTGTGGCGCTATTTGACTTTTATCATCATCATCATCATCATTACAAGAGTAATGCATCAGCTATGGTCCTTCATGTATCATATTTATTAGGTTGTTTGAGTCCGCAAGCCTTTGGTTCTCAACGCTTGGTAATGAGTTTCAACTTCTTGTTAAGTGACAAAACCTGTTAAACAACAGCTGTCGTATTAAACGTCGAGATTTTTTTTTGTGTGATCAAAGAAATGGCAGGATCAAGATGTGGCGTACTAGTTCAATGACATGATCCATCTGGACTGTAAATGCAGTGAAATTTATCCCGGCCAATTAATAATTTTGTACAGAGAGCACATGTTGAATATCTTGTCACTTCTAGAAGTTTTTAATGAGTCTGTTTTTCTCTCTGTCAGATCCCTCGTTATATCCTGACCCTCCATGAATTACTGGCTCACACTCCTCATGAGCATGTGGAGAGAAATAGCTTGGACTACGCCAAGTCCAAACTCGAAGAGCTTTCGAGGTATATCTTCACGTTGTCAGTCATTCAAACACAGACATGTAGGACCAAAAATAATGAGGCATAAGCGCATTCCGTAATGCGGCCATCCAAAACAGACATTGTTTTTTTGTTTTTTAAATATTGTTTTTAAATTTCGGAATGTCTCTCAGACTGTTCTGAACTCCTTTTTCCATGACAATGTCAGGATCATGTTTGCAAAGGGGGTTTATGAGGAGATCTGCGTGAATGTAGCACAACTTTCCATAACCTTGACAAGTCCTCGGTTGGTTGCAGCCAAGGAACACATTCCATTTTGCTTATTTGATAATTCAACATCCAATTGCACACATTCAACATAAATTTAAATGCTAAATTATTCGATAAATCGACATTTTGCTCAACATTACATTTAACCCAATTTACTCTACCTGCTGGGTGTAGTTTATAAGAAAACAAGACTCCATCACAGTTTAAGATACTGTAACATTTGAAGGGAGATTATTGTTTCATTTCCGATGCAACAGACCCTATTTCGCCTTGAATTTTTTTTTTTTCACACAGAACGCGAGATCATGTGGCTAGTCCTGTTTTATTTTTTCAGAGTAATGCACGACGAGGTGAGCGAGACAGAGAACATTCGAAAAAATCTGGCCATTGAACGAATGATTGTGGAGGGATGTGAAGTACTGCTGGACACCAGCCAGACCTTTGTCAGGCAAGGTAGGGTTGTTTTATCACCACTCACTGGCATGATTTATTTATCCGTTCATCCATCCACACTGATTTTATATTTTCAACCTAAACTGTGGTACACATTAACCAACAATCGGGAAAAAGTTGAGCATTTTCCCTCCCTTGTGATCAAATTCAGCAATGGCCTGATGGACAGATATCTCTAAACTTATTCTGTGGTGTATGTGAAGACAAATTTTCCCTCCCATGAAGATGTTTTATGAGGTCGACTGGTCAATGATGCTCACAAAGGCCCAAAATGTAGAATGAAAAAGGTGACAATCCAGGACAAACCTCATCTTTGCTTGTTTGTAATTGAAAACATCCAAACAGGAAATGAAATAACCGATGACTATGGAGATTCTCAGTGGGCATGGAGAGCACTGGTAAGTAATGCCTGAATATAGAAAACCAAATCTAACAAGTATAACAAATGAATGCTGAGAAATACATTTCAATAGGTGAGTAAGTGATCATTTCCATCAAAGGTTTATTACCCTTTAATAATTCACATGGGTGTCTGTTTTAGAGGACTATTTGAGATCAACAGAAATTCAAAGTCAGGAACATGAACTCCAGGCTTTCAGTCGTCATATTGTTTTAGTCTGAAAGGGTATATTTCAGGTGCTGCCTTTATTATTTGAACTCTGTAGTGTCTCGTGTCCTTATGTTGTTAGTTATCAGAGCTGTACAGTGGTAAGTAACAATATGAGCCCTGCTGTGAATAATGCTCACTGAAAAAAATAGTTTATTTATTAGTTATGTTCAGACAACGAAATATTTCTGACACTCTATTGTTGATATAATGTTGCTCTTCATGATTTCAGTCAAACCCTTATACTTTAGTTTCTGAAGAATACTGTAGGGCACAGGTGTATAAGTCCGGTCCTCGAGGGCCGGTGTCCTGCATGTTTTCCATCCCTCCCTGCTGCAACACACCTGATTCAAATGATCAGGATCACTATCAGGCTCCGATAGAGCTTGCTGATGAACTGATCATTTGGATCAGGTGTGTTGCAGCAGGGAGGGATGGAAAACATGCAGGACACCGGCCCTCGAGGACCGGACTTCGACACCTGTGCCTTAGAAGATAAAACACCACAAATAACAGCCCAATGACAACAAATGCCATCCAAGGTCCTGTCAGGTCACAGTTACCTATCATCCCATTCACACAAGTCTGCGATATTTACCAGCACGACCAATCCATCCGCTAGTTTGTTGTTATATCACAGTTGGAAAGTGCTGGAATCCATAAATCAACTCAACCTACAGTAAGTAATATCTGATGAAGCTTTTCAATGACTGAACAAGCTGTAATGTGCACATCTATCCCTCTGGAATTGATTCATTTAAGGATGAGGAATGGAATCAGCTCTCCATTGATCACGTCTCAAAATACACTTAGTGAGACGTATTGCTAGTGTCTGGAGACAACCTAATGGTGTTAATGGCAACAATGGGATAGAAGTGTATGATAGAAAAGAAATGAACAAGAGGAAAAACAACTTCATAGATTCCCAGATCACTAATTTTACCCATTGTAGTTTTGGGAAATTTGGGAAAAACAACTTAGCACGCGCACCTTGGCAGCGGCAGAGGAAAAAGGCATCTTGGTACCTTCTTGGAAAACCTTGGGATTAATTCAACTTTACGGCCATTATAATGACGGTGGGTGCCCCAGCCTACAATCCCACCGGACAACCGCAGGCTGGAGCAATTTTTGAAAAAACAAACACACACACACACACACACACACACACACACACACAACAAAAGTGTGATTATCCGGACCTCATGTCATTCCTTTTCACGACTACATTTCAATCTTATCCTTTATCTTATCTTTGCGGAAAATTAAACACACACCCAGGAGGGAACGTCAGCACTAAAATTTATCGGTAGCAGTTTGGTTTGATTTTGAAGTCACATGCTTTGGGTCCCTTGGGTACAGCAAGGAAGCAAAACATAAAATCATAAAACTGCTTTTCTTTCTTGTAAACAGTAACAAACTGAAACAAACTCCAAGATGTGCAAAATGGCCAATATGCAGTAAAATAAATATTTCATAATACAGTATACAGTGTATAGGCCAAAAAGCACAGTGCTAGTCAGAGTCTGAGCCGCACTGTGTTTGTTAGCGGAGTATAGACGGCGATGACCCAATGAACTAATACATTCCGTGTGGCCTCTTGGGACACTTCTGCAAAAATTTGAATACGTGGAGCTTTATTTCCCAAATAACATTTTTTTAACTGCTTCTCCGTGTTTACTGAACCAACGCCGCACCATTTTCACACACCCTTGACTCCTTCTGGAAATATGTGGAGGCTAACTGTCACCACGAAGCTTAGCTTGTGACAGACGGTAGCGTCAAGGGCGCAGCGAGGCCAAGATTTCAATGATGCACCCAACACACGTGGAAGGTCGATTGTCAACTTTACCAGGAAGCAACCCCTCTGATAGACAGCAAGTCTCTGGCGTCTGCCTCTGTTACTACTCCAGAAGGCTGCAAATTCACAGGTCCAAACGCCGAGCCAGGTTGGTCACTACCTTACGCACGGTTGCTGCTCCCTGTTTGTATTATCCCAGTCGGAAGGAAAGAACAACTTGTGTGAACAAACAACTTTGATTTTGCATCTTTTGGATTCGCTTTCCCACAGCAAACAAGCCTGATTTGCAAATTAGGGGTGTCATGGTAAAGCACAGATTCATTTGCCTTTACAGTTTCTCCTAAAAAATATTATTGGATGTGTGGGCTCTTAGAAGACAGAGCTACAGTATATGCATTTCAAACTGCATTAGCGTTTGATTGTATTTAATATTTATGTGTCAGTTGGTGTTAAAAATGTAATAATTTCCTGAACTTTGAATAAAGGTTTTATGGTTGACTGAGTAGATTAGTGCAGATATAACTGATCTCAATGTCAACTTTGAGGGTCAAATCAGCATACTAGCAGTTAGCAAGTCTGCCTCTCAGGTGAGGTTCTCAGTTTGAATCTCGGCTCAGGCCGTCCTGTGTCGAGTACTTCATTTCCCGCCCCCCCCAATGCTTGCGTACATCGTCTTTATCGAAAGCAACCAATCCAGAGTTTAACCCGCTTCCTGCCCAATGCCAGCTCAGCTAGGCTTCAGTTCACCCGTTATCCTGATGAAGATAAACTGAATAGATTTTATACTGCAAACACAAAAATACATAACATGACAGAAAGCATCTACAGTGAAGTGATATTTTCTGAAATGCTTACATAACAGTAGAATGACACTAAATATGAGAGAATATATAAAACTTATACAATATAATTAGAAAACTTTTCGTATTGTCTCATGAGTATGCAGGGTCAGTGCCACTTTGGGCTACCACAACATGGCTCATGGTCATGTCGGACCCTGCCCGAATTCACATCCTTTTCTTTCCAAACGACTTCTTCAAAATGAGGTGTGCATCGCACACCCTTTTTACCGCTCACTTGCGCAATGACTGGCAGGGCGAGCGAAGCTACGCCACAGGTACATTTCCTCGTTTGTCCCACGTTGCCACCGTCACTGCTGACGTTGGGTCAGCAAAATCGGTCAGGTGTTCTCTGCACCGCCTTTTCTTGGCCCCCTCATCCATCAATCACCTAACTGAGCACTTGTGTTTGCGCAGGGAGTCAATGATTGTCCAGGTCGGCACAAGACAAACTTTTGCTCGATGTTGCCGATGTTGATGTGGAGCAAGATCGCTCCTCGTTGGTGAACTTAGCGAGCGACGTGGGAGGGTCAAACTTTTAGGGAAGCTCTTATGTGTGGAGCAAATGTGCATGTTTTGGGAATTACAAGAAGCTGGACTACCTGAAGAAAACCATGCATGGGGAAGAAAATGCTAATTCCAAAATGTGTGTGGGGGGCGGGGGGAATAATAAATAATAAAGTCAAGAAATGGCGACGAGGTAGTGGCAGCAAACTTCGCAACAAACAGCAGTTTGACAGAGAGTGAATGTTGCGTATCGAACCAAGGTCTGCTGTGCTAATGCTAAAGCACGATGTAAAACA